TAAAATACCTGTAGATGTGGTCCTTAGGGACATGGTTTAGTGGTGGGATCTGCAGTGTTAGGTTAATGGTTTAGAATCAAGATCTTAGGTTTTTTTCCAGCCTAAATTATTATATTAGTCCATGGAAAACAGGATCACCAGTATGTTTCTGTAGCGTGTTTTCATATGTTAAGGATCAATATAAAAAAATCATTGTGCATGTAAGTGGTGGTGTCAATAAGCTTCTGTGACAAAGGTTGGCTCATTATTTTACTGTTCATTTTGCTTTGGTACCAGAGTAGCTAGTGTACACTTTTCTAAGAAGAATCAGGTGGATATTCATGAGAAATGTTACTTTTCTTCCTTTTGTTGGAATAAAAGGTCTCTTTATGAGAGATTCATAGCTTAAGCACATTTCAGATAATTTTTAACACTTGGTGCGTTTTATGTTACAATGAAATATGTATCAAGTATATAGTTAATAGTGAAGTTCTCAGGGTATGAAATATAAGTAAAGGTGAACTTTAAGTAATATTCAAAATGTCAAAACTAGGGTTGATAGGGTTCTTTGAGTAAAGGTGAACACCGAAGGCTAATGTTCTGCAGTGATAAATTGCACTGCTGGATACAGTGGCACCGTGTTGTGCCACTGTAATTGGACAGTTTGTGCATAATTTTGTATTATTTTGTGGTTCCTCTTTGCCTGTGCGTAAGCTTGCCCAGGGGCTCATTCTGACAGCATCCCCCTGTCAGAACAGCACTTGAGTCACGCTTTAGTACAGATTGTTTCTGTCCTTAATTCTTCAGTCTGTAGTTCTGTAGTCATATACAATTTTAATTTTGAAATCAGTACAACAGCGGGAGAAGCTGACACTGAACATGAAGAATAAATGTTTTATGGTATAGGCCCTTCTGCCATGAGAAGTATCTGTTTAAGGTGGTTCAGTGTCCAAAATAATGTATCCAATAAATGTATTTCATAAAATAATGAATAGTTTTAAATGTTCTTTATATACAGGTTACATGTTCTGGGGAGTGTGCTACTTTGGAATGTATTTGTACAATGTATTTTATTCTTTAATCAGAAGACTTCCTTCGCCCAAATTTTATGTCTAGATTTATTGAAAGTATTGGGAAACTTATTAAATATAATTCTTGTTTCTTTTGAATGTTGATTAAAGAATTATTTTTTAAAACTGTAAATAATTTTTTTTCAGAAACTGCAGTAGAAGTAGCTTTTATAAAATGCTTGAAATCTTAAAGCTGACAGTAATTATATATCTTCTTGTTCATTGCACATTTGTACTTATTTTCAGTGAAATGGAAAATTTAGATTTAGATTATGTCAGCCCAAATTACCTTTATCAGCAAATTAGCCTCCACTCACAATTCCTTACAAAGCAGGGAGCATTAGCTTCTTTACTCAGTGCATCTTCTATTCCAGTCTTGCTTCAACTGGGTATAATGCACAGAGCTTAGTAATCCATTTTTCAACTCATTTAGACTAGAAAGCAACTTTCAAGAAATGCATTATGCCCATTAACAACCATAGTTGAAATATCACAACTGGCACAATTTGTTGTTCTTTACTGCTTACTTTCAATGGCTGCAAGCAAGCAAATGAAATTTGTTTCTGCTCTGTGAAGAACAAAAATGTTTGTGCATTAGTAACTTCAGTTAGAAACAAAACTGACTTTTTTTGCATCCTGCTTGATGTACTGGATTATCTAACTAGAATAGTCAGCAACATAGGTATCTGTGACATTCAAAAAACAAATTCAGCGCAGTTTCCCACTTCAGTATGTTTAACTTGCAGCTGAATGCGCCTAGAGCAAAGGCAGATACACCATAGTAATTCTGTATTTGTCCTGAGTAATGGTGCACTGGGCAGAGAGCTGCAGAGGACAGGGCTCAAAGGGTTGCACTGGCTGGGGCTACATCTGGAGAACAGCCCTGCAGAAAGAAATCTGGAGGTGCTGGTTGGCAGCAGCTCAGTAGGAGTCAGCTGTGTGCCCTGGCACCTGAGAGGGCAAACCCCATCCTGGGGGTGCATCAAACGCAGCATCACCTGTTGGTCAAAACAGTTGATTATCCCCCTGTCCTGAGTGTTGGTGCAGCGTCATCTTGAGCACTGTGTGTAGTTCTGGGTCCCACAATTTAATAAAAATGTGCAGACCCGTGAATGTATCCAGATGAGGGCAGGAAATCTGGTGACAGGGCTGAAAGGCATGTCCTATGAGGAGCAGCTGAGGGCTTTGTTCTTGTCTAGTTTGCAGAAAAGGAGGCTAAGAGGTGGGCTTATTTTTCTCTGCAACTTCCTGAGTGGGAAAGTGAAGAGGGAGGTGCTGAGCTCTTCTCCCTGGGATCTAGTGAGAAGAGGCATAGTAATCGTTCAAAGCAGTATCAAGGGAGGTTCAGACTTGACTTTAGGAAGCATTTCTTTACTGAGAGCTTGGTCAAGCAGTGGAACAGGCTTCTTAGAGAGGTGGTCAATGCCCCAAGCCTGTCAATGTTTAAGAGGCATTTGGACAATGCCCTTAACATGCTTTAACTTGTGGTCAGGTTGTTAGATTGGATCATCCTTGTAGGTCCCTTCCAACTGAACTATTCTATTCTAACTCTCGAGCAGTTAAAGGCTTTTGTGTGGAAAATTAAAATACAGAGGCTTCTGAAGCTTATACTGTCTTCAAAATGTGGACATCTATGTATAAACTGCCTTGTTTTATTTTTAAACCTATTTCTCAAAGGTTGCAGAAAATATGTGGTTATCGCATTTGTTTTGTCCTTCCAATAACTTTTCAGGCTTGAGTACTTGTTTCATCAGCATTTTCCAGAAGGAGAAAAATCTCCACTGTGCAGAATTTCATGACTTTTGTAAAGCTCATTTGTTGCCTTTTTCTTCTTTTTTTGTTTTAAAAAAAGAGATACAATGCAGATGGCTGCTGAGGAAGGGCTGCAGAGCAAGCCCCACAGTTAGCCATTGTGTTTGGAGTGCTGGCTTGAGGCTTATTGCACTTGCATGGGTTGTTCTTTTTACGCAGAGCTGAGAACTAGCCTTGATATTGGCTGTTGTGTCTCTGCCAGCTGGGGCAGCTGATGACTTCTGGAGAAATTCTGGCAAAGAGGGGTGTGAAGGTGATGGGAGGATATCAGGTTTGTAGAGGAAGGAAGATTAGTCACAGGGCCTCAAGACTGGAAGGCTGAGGCTGTTACGGGTAGTGGAAAATCCACCACAAAATCCTCATTTAATTTTAGAAATATTGTCAATATGTAGGTGCAATATATAGTGGTAAAGCTGTAGTAGTTTCCTGTGCACTGGATGACAGAGAAGGAGGGGGATTATCCAGGACTTGATGAGATCACTTAGAAGAGCATAAGATCATTACCTCTCCATCCTCATTCTCTACCTTTTCACATCCCATCATTGCAGTTCCATCTGTTGCATAGCAGAAGTACCTAATTAGTTGGTAAGTGCTATACATAGCAATTAAATTAATATTTAAAGATTCACATCTCTTTGTAAATAGCTATGACTTAAAAAAGTTCCCAGCAGAGGTAGCATATGGTTTTAAGATGTGTATGCAGTTTTATATACTTGCCTATACATTTTCATGGGTATTTGTTGCCAGATATCAGTAGGAATGGTATGTTGTGATAAGGACCTTTGGAGTAATGTGCTGTGATGTTTTATTTTTTTAAAGAAGCTCACTGTTGATTATTTTTAAGATCTAAAAATAATTTTACTTCTTGCTTCCATACTGAAGCAACTGATTTATATTGGCAGACACTTTGATATAGCCACAAAATACATGTTGAGGAAATAAAAAAAATGAAAGCAGCTTCAGTCTCTATTATAATTTTGTATCACTTAACTTCTGTTGCCTTAATCTTTAGGTAGTGTTTCCTGTAACAGTGCTGCCATACTCATGAGATTGTTTTTAAAATTAATTTAGTATTTTAGTGCCTTTTTAGATCTTTCTGAGAAATGTGATTTGGAAGATGAGCACATGCTCATTGTTTTAACTGATAATATACTTCTGTGAATGTGGATGGAGGATGTTCAGTGTAGTAAAAATCTCTGAACAATGTGTTTTTATATAGAAAGACAGTAGGAATGCCTTAGTTAGACTTTAACAAAGACTTTATGTCATAAATTTGGCAAAAATAAGACATTATCATTTCTGCAGTCTTTGCCATTTACACCATACTGATGTCATACTTGAGCATGTTAGCTAAAGCCTGTTAGCAGAATGTCTGTGATCCTTTTTGGAGAAAATTCTGCTAGATATAGATAAACCACATAGTATATAAGTTCTATTAGCTCTAGCAATAACCCGTGCAAGTGATTATCACAGCTTTCAAATAGTAAAGGTGCTACAGTAAACACAGTGTGCATGGGTACTGGTTTAGAAACCATTCATTTGTACTAGTTTATTTGTATTTATTTGTTATAGTAAGAAATTATTTAAGCTGCAAGTTACCTAAGTTTTCTCACTGTATTTCATACACATTAATCTCACATTTTTTTGGTCTCAAGTGACTACAACCTTTACATGTCCTTTTCTTATATTTCTTTGCCTTCTTAATTTAATGTTGTCTTCTTTTCATTACTAACTCTTTCTTTTTGGAAGCCATTATTTTATTTGCAGACCTTGTTTCTTGTAATCTTGCGCCAAATAATTTGTAGCCCAAGAAAGTAATGAGTATATATATACCTAATCATTTCACATTATAACCAGGTGTTTTTTTTGTGGTGTATTATAAAGCTCTGATCTTAATGTTTCGTAAGATAACACAGTTCAGACGAGTTGTTTAAGCCATCTAGAGGCAGAAAAATCAGTCCAATGTAATATTTAACTAGTTTATATTTTGGGTGGTTTAATTGAGTTGTAAGAATTTTCATGCACCACCACATTTTGTTTCCTTGAGATTGGAGGAGTATTTTATTGTTTTACACAGTGCATTTGATACTTAAGACTTCAGAAAAGTTGCAGTAAAATACCTGTTTATTCTGTCTTCAGAACAAGTTCATAGGCACTTGGATCAGCATGAGGTGAAATACTTGCAATTTGCTTTCCGTTGGATGAATAACTTGCTGATGAGAGAAGTCCCTTTACGATGTACCATCAGGTTATGGGACACATACCAAGTAAGTACTTTTTTAAACCTCTGTAACTCTGGTAATGTGTTTTGGACATGCTAGTATCTTTGTGAGTGTTTTGCCTTGAACCTTTTGCTTTAGTGTCATCTGAGAATCATCATCATAAGTGGAAAAAGCCTTCAGTGGTCACTACTACTTAGAAACATTTCATGTCTTCAGTCTTCTCGCCCTTCAAAACCGAGCACTTGATGTCATGATAGTTTGTAGTACTAAAATGAACATTCACTCACAGTTAATGTCAATGTTCCATTCTGTCTCTTCAGAGAAACGAAACATTGAATTGTGCTGAATCAATGCTCTCTATTGACTCTGAGTTACAGGCTTCTTATTGCCCATCTTCTTAACTACTCCATCCAATACTAGCTTTCAGTCTTCAGTTCTCAGCATTCATCCTTTTGTCATGTCTTCTGTCCTACTGTTTGTCCAGACAAAATTCCTTATGTTACTGACCTCTAGTTGTGGTCATTATTTTTCCTCAATAATTTCCTACCTGGCTGTCAAGTGAAAGTAGTGATACTGGAGAAACACTGTTTACCTGTTCTTATTTCTGTTACTTGATGTTCCTTCCAGTATCTTCTGGTTGCAATTTTTTACTATGTGTTTAAACTATATATCCTTATCTACCGACTTTGTTGTAAAAGTTAATGGGGGGGGGGGGGGAAGAAAGAAAAGTAAAAAGGTTTTGAATTCCAGAAGAATTTTCAACTGAATTAGTAAATATTAGACTAACTCTTAATTTCTGCCTTGTAAGGAAATGTAACATCTTTAAATATCAGTGTCTTTGTATCTACTCACTATGTAGCAATATTCAGGTAGTTTCATACACTTCAGTGCCAGAATGTCTACTTACACTATCTATCCAGACTTCAAATAGAAGGTGAAAAATTCCTTGCTGTTCATTTAATGAGTCCAGTAAGTTGTTTCAGTGAAGTCTGTTTTATATAATGGTATCCAAATCGGATAAGAAAACGTTAAGAAATGAGGGATCTTTCGCTTGTACTGTTAACCTGTCCTAAGAGGTGGCATCCTTGCAGAGTTTGTTTGGTTGTTCATCTTCAAGAAGTTTCTGAACTGAATTTGGCTATTGCTTCCATTTTATTGCTTCCTTCCAAAAGGACTTTGGGTCCTTTTGCCTGCTTTTTCTCATTATAATATCTGTTCTTCACTGGAGTATCTGTTGTTACCTGGCATTTTATTCCAGTGGAAAATATTTATTCTTTATAAGATCTTTCTGAGAAATTGAAAGATTGAGCTATTTAAATGTTTCACTGTAGCTAATTTAGCTCCTTTTGGAATGATTTTTGTTGCTATTGCTGCAGTAATTCTAACTCCTGAATGTTTTTTACCATGTAACTCTAGCACTGCACTTGGTACTTGGTCATTAGCCTTATCCATGTGCTAAAATCATGTAAGAGTGCTTCCTTAATCCAGCTAACCACCTATAAGTGCACAAGAAACAGCTGTTTTTGCCAAAACTTCACTTTGAGCTCATCTGTGAGCTATGATTCTATGATAACGTCAAGAAATTGCTTTTGAAAATTAATTACTTTCACAAACTAACTGTTGCCATGCAGAAAGGAATCCTTTCTCATTGCTCGTCCATAGGCATCTCTCAAATTACACTTCAGAGGGATCTTCATCCATAATAAGTGTTTCTGATTATTTAATTCTGATATTTAACAAATTCTGCTACATTTGCAGTAGTTTTCTGTACTATTTAAAGGCTTTACATTGGATTTTCAAGTGTATCTTTTAAATGAAAGTTTCTTACACCTTAATACCTAAATAGGATTCTTATACCTAGGGTGGGATTATTTTTGTATATTAAACATGCTTAAGGAGTAATTCTGTTTTTTGACTCAGCAGGTGCAGCAGATATGTACTGTTTTCCAGGTTTCATTTTTTTAGCAGACTGTTCTGTATGCATTTATTGTTTAATAGCATATTTTAAACCAGGAAGGATATCTTAATGTAGACACTCACCTGTATTGCCAACCTCTTTTTGGTGCAACCTCAAGCAATTCCTCAAGTTGTTTATCAGATTTCAGTTGTGCTTATCTTAAACTTATTATAAGCCTATTATATGAATCTTATCACCCTGATAATATGGATAATAAATGCAGTGAACCTACATCAGCCAGTAAAGCTTGTGCAGAGTTTTTACTAAAGTGTTAAGCAACAATAATATATATTTTTACACAAATAACTTGTCACTAAGCCATTTTGTTGCCTGATCGTTAATAAGTGCATCAGCAGTGCTGCTTTCCAAATGGAAAACATTCTAGAGATGGAATTTCTTCAGTTGTTTTTTAACTGTGAAGCCTGGTATAGGCCAAAAGGTCATTCAGAGGTATATTGTTAGAGAAGTTTTTCGAAGGGTCTGGTTATGGATGGACCTGTGATGTTGGATTTGAAAGAGAGATGTAAAATGTGTACAGGCAAAAATATAATAGGGGATCTTATTTTAAAAAAAATAAAAATTACCTTTGCAGATATAGATGGAAGGAACAATCCTACTAATAATTGTAAGGGCCTGGATAGATGCCTAACTGCTTTTCTCACTGTACTCAAAGGCTGACGATCCTGTTTATTAGGCTTGTTTTTGCTACCTTATGGGTTCTAAATGAGGAAAGTAAGGAAACATGAGGGTTCTCCTTAGATTTCCACACTTTTGCCTTTTGGTCTTTCTGTGGCTACTCAGGATGTGTATGTACTGACTTCTACTCCCTGATATTCTTGAACTTTTGTTAACAGAAATACCTTTAACTGCACTATAAGTTCAGAGATAAGGTGAGCTAATGATGTTGCAGTGTAACATCAGCCACAGCCAGGAATACAGGCATCCCTGCACTGTTGGTGTGAAGGCTTTTGCTCAGGCTCTGCCTATCTTGCAGCTCCTGGGAAGGGATGGAGCATTTTGCAAGGCACTGTTTGTAGTCATCTCTAGTCCCAGTGCATGGAATGATTTGGGAATGACATAGCAGCAGTGTCAGAGGAGGGTCAGGATATGGGGGACAGATTCCTTCATGTTCACATCTCCCTTGTTTCCTGGTGAAGCCCAGGGTGATGGTGGATGGCTTCCCCTCCAAAGATTAGAGAACAGTGGCCCCTCTTGAAAGAGAGGGTCCTACTGCTGCTGTCTTCACAGAAAAAAACACATTTTCTTTCCTCCTCTTCCTCTCTTCTTGATCAAAGTTGAAACCGTGCCTTGTCTTGCCAAGCCGCCTGTTTTCCTCTGTAGTGGAAAGATAAATATTATGCTGTCTCCAGCCTAAATTCTAGATTCATGAACCACAACAGGGGGTTTTCAGGGGAATGACAGCACACTGAAATAGTCTGCTGTTTTATATTCCCTAGTGTGACAGATAACTGCTGTTGGCTGGAGGTTTTAGAACTGCATTCTATCTCTTGAAATTTGTTACCATTCTTACATTGACTTTGGTGAGAACAAAATTGGACACTTAAATGATATCCCCCTCTATCTCAGTATGTGTGGTGGCAAAAGTACTCTGGCTGGTGTCATATTCTCTGCCTAGTTTAATTTAGGATTCATCAGTCGTTTGTTAGGCTTTGTGAAGAAAATCATTGGATGTATAATCAAAAATAGCTGTACTTGAGCTAGTTAGATCTGAGAGGAAGAGAAATTTGGAAAGGTTCCCAAATCCTCACTTCAGGAAATACTCTGTTATTCTGTACCTGTATCTATGAAATGCACTAAAATGCATCACTGTCTTCTGTAGCAGAACTGTATAAACTAGAAAAAGTAAAGACATTATCATCTAGCTTACAAAGGTTATGTTGAGAGAACTGCTTAGCCCAAAATATTTCTTTGAGTTTATTCTTTAACCTCAATTGCATTTTAATGAGAGTGAAATTATCCTACTTTTTCACTTGATTCAGGCTTTGCTTTTTTTTTTTAAAAGATAAATATAGTAAAATGCCTTGTAAATCCTGTCAAAATAGAAATTGCTTGTTAAGTTACACCCAAGACACTCAAGTTTTAAATCTGTAGAGCTGATTAATATGAATGTTCATAGACTTTGTCAAGTGTGAAATATTCACAAATCAGAACAGTGTAACATAAGACCTGATTTTTATCTTCTATTCTATCTTGCTTTTTTATCTTACATTTCATCATCTTTTTTGGCATAAAGGACTGGTAAAATGAAATAGCATGATGGCTGAATTATTCAGGGTATATAAGTGATTAACATATTTCTATGGACTTATGGAATGCAAGTTAGTTTCATGTTTGTTCCTTGCCAGAAGGATGTTTTGACACAATTTTAAAGATTGCTTTGCTATTTGAAACTGACTTTTGTGGACTTATTCTAACTTGAGATTCAACATACTGTGTAAGAAAAGTTGGGAATGTCTCAATGCTTAGCAACTGTGCTGTTCTACTCTAGATAAATATTTTAAATGTTTACCATCAAAAACTCAAAGTTCATTTATTCTACTTCTTAAAATGTGTGTTGTCCTTCAGGCACTTGTAAGATCCACTGTGGTTATGTGGCTGTGTACTTCTGTGCTGGGGGAGAGAGGAATGCCATTACAGTGGTGACATCCATTTGGAACTCTTCATTCTTGACTAGAAATGGCAATACAGGACTTGAATAGCAGTGGTTGTATATCAATACTTAGAGCAGAACAGTGTTTACTTTCAACTATCAGCATTTTTAAACTGCTTAAATATTGAGTTCAAAAGCACATATGATTTGTGAGCAGTTTGCAGCTGGAAGAAAGTCTCTAACAATGCCATCAAATCATCCTGATAGATGATAAGATGGTGCTATACTGACTGGTGTTTTAAATAGCATAAGAATTTGCATGGGCATGTAAGTACTTCATTTTACTTACTTTCCTTGTAGAACGGAGTGCATGTATTTTTCATGGAAGCGTTTTCCTTCCAATCTGATGTTCTTACATAAATTACCTTTTTGTGCTGTCTTTTGTGCAGCAATTTCTCTGTGTAAGTAACTCTTGTA